GTATAGCTTTATTTTCTTTTGATATTCCCCCGTGCTCGCTGCCTTTTCAGATATCCGTCAACGAGGCTCTAAACCCGATCAACAGTCAAGGCAAAAATGCCAGTACACCAGAAGCAGGATACAAAATACAGCTGACTAAAAATGCGAGGTGTTTATTTAATATAAATATAAAAGAGAACGCCTTGTACTCGCCGTAAACCCGAAAAGCGAAACACAAACCAGAAGCCCCCGCCGCACACGCCCAAAAACTGGGGAGACCACAATTGAATGTGGATGGTAATTGGTGGCGCAACCGGGAGACCACAAGATGATGTTCACACGTGCCCAGGTGCGAAAGCAGAAGACCACCAACTCGAGCAGCCAGCGACCTCGCAGCTCGGGAGGATCGTCCCGCCATGAGGTGAGTACAGTCTGGGATTATCTGCTCCCTGGGAAAGGAAATTATCCACGAAAATTACAAATGTGGGTGTCACTGGGAAAAGTTTGTATCAAGGAATATCTTAGTAAAATAAATTATCCACTTCAAGTTCTCCTCAGGGTGTCACAATTTAATTTCATATTAAATTATGTTGTATTACTATCATAAATTAAAATTAGAAGTACCTACTTTTTTATTTCAGTATAGAACATGCACTTAACTTGCAATAAACCAATAATATTATCAAAAGCTTTGAAATTTTTGAAAACAAAGTGTTAAATTTGTACTCCAAATTGTCGTTTTGGTTAAACAATTACGTTCTAAGAATAGAAAAATACTTAAACTATTTCTAGGAAAAAGTTACAAAAAGATTGTATTTTAAGCTACTTTTTCCCAATTTTATTCCACACTACTTTATTGCTTTTTCCAACACAGTAGACAGTACTAAACAAACCTAAAACAAAACTTATAAACACACATATTTCCTAAGTAGCCAAGTCATTCCCAAATAATTAACATTAAATCCCAACATTTACAAATTCGGACTATTTAGACGCTCTGTTAATTTTTGTTTAACAATTAAGAGAGTAAAAATAATGTGCAAGCTGAGGAAAAAAAATTTTTCAGATATGTTATTTACCTGTTCGCAAGTGTGTTTCGGTAATTGATAAAAGCAGGGTATATTGGTACAACACGTGGGGTAACTTCACATTAATTATGTTTCTCTTTCATTACATACAAACAAATCCTTGCTGTAATTAAGTGATAACTATATCCCTTTCCTTATATTTAAATTAAGTTTTGATACTTTTTATCAAATTTTAATTGCTTTTTTCGTAGACGCGCTACAAACAGAGCTCCACCAGCAGCAGTGGTGCAGGCAGTGGCTTGAGTGGCAGCAGCGGCGCCTCTGGAGCCAGGAGGGATCAGTACCGGGACAGGGATCACTACGGGAAGCATTCCTTCGAGCTGCCCCGCCAGCACTCCAAGGAGGAGGCATACCACCGAGATCGCGACCGGGATCGCGAGAGCAGCGCAGGTGGTGCCGAAAGAGGCGACCGCAGTGGTGTCGGTGGGAATGGCGGTGGCGTCACCGGTGGCGGCGTCTATGTGGACAGGAGGACTCGCCCCAGGAGCATCACCAATCGTCGCGGAGCAATCAAGCACCAGAAGTGAGTTGTAAAGAAATCTAAATCAATTGCTGTTAGTACTTAATTAATTTGCCTGAAAGTCAACTAAGACATATGCAAATGTTTAAAGATTTAAGGAATTCAATGAGATCTTTTAATAATTCACGATTTGTGTTTGTAGAATTTAACTACGTATAAAAGTAAACCAATTTTTTAATATACGCTGCATTAAACTAAGTAAAAGTTGGAATTTTACTTATATTTATAAATTTTTTCTCTCAACAGAACCCACGACATCAATGGTCATCGTTTCGTGGCAAAGTTCTTTCGACAGCCCACCTTTTGTGCCTTCTGTAATTTGTTCCTTTGGGGATTTGGCAAACAGGGATACCAGTGTATAAGTAAGTTTTATTAGCTATCCAAAAACCTTTAATATTTTTTACATGAGTATTTTTTCGCAGTTTGCCAAACCGTAGTGCATAAAAAGTGTCATGAGAAGCTGTTGGGTAAATGTTCCGGTTCCGTTTTCACCTCTGCCAGTACAATTGTGGGTTTATAAAAATGATAAATATAATATTAACCATGGTAACTAATTATAACTCATTTTTTGTTGTGTCTTAGTTATTACGCGAACGGTTCAAGATCGATATGCCACATCGATTTAAGCCGCACACTTTTATGTCACCCACTTTTTGTGATCATTGTGGATCGTTGATGGGTGGATTTTTTATTCAGGGGCTCAAATGTGAAGGTGAGTTCTTCAGCATATATTTTAAATTATATATCTTTGACTGTTTGTGGTTAGGATAATGGCACTTTCTATTAAATTTTGGAAGTATTTGATTTCCTAGTTTATTGTTTTTAATATTATTAAATTTTTTAAATAACATATTCAGTGTAAAGTGCTATTATTTTAAACCCACCTAATTTATTACTCAATTCTGTTGCGATTTCTATATTGGCTATATTGGCTGGGGCTTTTGGCAGGTGGCACCATCTGTGCCAGAGGTAAACCGCAAAGCTTTTTATTAAAAGCTTTCCCAATGTTTAGTGGTTATAACAACCACAGACTGTTGTGCTTTTTGCTTACCACAAAATGTAACGGTCAACAAAAATAAGGGGATGCTATATCCCTTATTAAAGGGATTTATCTATAAGTAATGTATATTTACATTAGAGTTCAAACGTATTTAGTTTCATACGTTTTTAACTCTTTTTTTACTTCTGTATATGTCAAAGTTAGAATATTTAGTTGGTGATCCTAAACTTTTTTTCCTTTTTTTGTGACTCAACACGGAAACTCCAATATTCAAGAAAATGGTTTCCAATCGAAAATGTTTCGTACATTTTTTAATTTGGTTATATATTAAGACGTTGAATGGGCCAACGTTTCCAGTGAAATGTTCATAATTACTTTTTTCGGATAATTTTTTATCCGGGAAAACTTCCGCCTTCAACTGTAATTACCAAATTTAAAAATATTTTATTAAAGCCAACCGGTCGTATGAGTAATGCAGTTGTACCCGTTGCAAGTCTTAAATTTATATTATTTCTGCTCGGCTGGAAGTGCAATCAAAATAAACCCACTTAAAATATATGCGATGCTTTCGTTGGTGTCGTTATTTTGTCATACACGTTGCAGATGCATAAAATTGTGCAATATGTATCGCTTTTTATTCGGCGAACAAAGGAACAAATACTTTCACTTGTCGTGTGTGCGATCAAAGCGGAAATAATGCAATCAGCCAGATTAAGCTGAAATCGCAATGTGTAGTAGATGGATAGACCGATAGCCAGACTGCATTAGAAATCAATTTATTGCGACTTTGCCAACACAAGACATAAGAAAAACAGAAAAAATGGCGTTCCTAGCAGGGCGAAATAATTACGCAATGATCGAATTGCAGGATACTTATTAATCTCTTATAAGCAACAAAACTATTTACATTTCGAAAAGTTTTTAGTCACCAAACAAAAACATTTGACTGAATTTGCATTATACAGGTGTGATTTTTATAAACCTTCAAGAATTTTTATTTAAGATTCAAAATCATCTTGGATAAATGCCTATCACACTTGTTATTATAGAAGATTTATTTGGGTAACAATTTTATTAAAGTATATATATACCTCTTTAAAGGATGCTTTGGCATTAATTTGCCTTATTATAGAAAAGATTTTTGCAAAAATTTTTTTAATTGCCAATTTAGTTTCCCTAACGCAAGCAAGCAGGTGTGTTTGTAAATGAATGTTTGAAAGCTTATTAAAATGGATTTCAGCGAAACCCTTATTTAAATTTTATTGGAAAAAAAATAATACTTAATAAAAATATATTCCAGTAATATTTTTACTGGGCATCATTTGATTTACATTATTTGTCCTTTGATGATTTTATTAAACAAGTTTAGGTATTTGTCTTGTCTCAAACACAAAGTTCTGAAAGTGGTCTACAATTTTTTTGTGATACAAAATTGCAAAGCATCACCCATTAACTTCAGAAAACAATGTGTTTTTTGAGTGCAAGAGTGTGCTCGTGGCTGAGCACTTTTGCAAGTGACAGGCCAGGAATGCAGTGGCAAAAATATAGCACAGAAATATATATATTTCGCCGATCTCCCCCCTGTCACTATAAATCGCGAAGATTAAGTACTGAGGTAGCGCGAAAGAAAAAAAAAAAGAAGAAAGAAGAGCATGTTGCAGTTCTATTTCTAGTTGTTTGGCGCTTTCCAAGCTCTTCCTCTTGCCAGCGGGTCTATAAATGTACTTTGCGGAACCGAAAAGCGTCACCATTAGCATCGCACGTACTATACGATTTCGAGTGCTTCGGCAACGGGCATTTCTCATGTGAGATACAGATACATCCTACGTGCGGCATTTCTGGCATTTGTTTTCGATTTCCTCGCCTCGCGGGGATGGACAATTTTAGCCAAACATCTTGATAGCAGGTGCTACCAACAGGCAGATTAATGATCGCCCAGCAGGATCTTTGGTCCATGTTGCCCAAAATGTCAACCGATGTTTGCAGCAGCATTGCAAATTTACAGTACTTAAACAATTGGTTCAAACTTCAACTATTAATTTATTTCCAGCTTAAAGTTATTTCCCTAGGTTTGGTATAATCAAACAATTTGTTATTTTTTTTAGTTATTTAAGATTTGATTACCAATTTAAAGAAATTTTTAATACTTCAACTATTGGTGTTAAATTCATCCTTAAGTTAATTACATTTATCATCCAACTTAAAGTTATTTTCCTTCTTTTTCTATTATCCAAAATATGGTACATTTTTCAGAATTTCAGATTTAATAAACAGTTTTTTATTGATTAGGTTTATTTATTTTAATATATTTTCAATACTATTCTTAGCCCTGTCCTAAAACATCTGTCTTGGCATTTCATTCGTTTTTTCCATTTCCGTTGGCAATTTTCGTCTTTACTTTTTAGTAAAAAAAATCACTTTTTTTCAATGCCACTTATTTCAATGATTTATTTATCAAATGATTTTGAATAGTTTCCTTTAATATACTCCCAAATTCATTCTCTCATCATTTATTCTTATCCGGAGAATTGGAATTCGGTGGAATGGACTTTTTACTATTCATTGCACAAATAAGCACTTTGATGTTTGATTACACTTGCCTAATTCGTTTAATTTATGAGTTATATGCATTTTAGTGACAATTAATTGGTCACACATTTTATGACAGCGTTCCCGCATTTCTCTTTCTTTATTTTTCTGTCTATTTCTATCGTGTCATCCAATTGAAATAATTTTTTCAGTTGGTTAACATTTATTTTCTTGAAAAACGTTTGCTGTTTTATTTCCCATTGGTTGTGTTATTGCAGATAAGTGGCTTTTATAAAATTAGTCATTACAATTATGACACACTTATGACTTCCTTTAGTTTATAAATATTGTGGAATTTTACTTTTTCTCTTTTGAGTGAATTATTTTTTTATCATATCTTTAGAAACCAACCATTTGATTGAACATATTTCATATTTTGTTGGTTATTGGTCTTTTCTCCTTCTTTTTATGAATTTCATATCTTTCCCTTTCTTTATTTTTGTAATCTTTGTAAAGTTGTGGCAAAATTCTCTAGCGACAGATTTCACCTTTCTGTAAAAAATAAAACATATTTCTCCCACACCTATTTTAGTTAATTGTTCCGCATATTTTATGACAATTCTGCTCTCGTTTCTCGCAATTTTCCGAGAGATCTCTCATTTGAGTTTTCCGCTCTTTCTAGCTTTTCGCTTTTACTTTCGCTGTGCAAAAACGATGAACAGCATTTTCAAATACGTCAAAAATGTTTTTGATGCTGATTCGAAATTCGAAATGCGCTCGCCTTCGTGTGAAATTTATGGCAATGGGAGTGTGTGTGTGTGTGTGTGTGTGTGTGTGTGTCTGTTGAAAATTCTGAGGGGCATATTTCGAAATTGGCAGACACGTTGAGATAATTGAAAGAAGAGGAAAATGGTGATCTGGGCACAACACAGATACACTTGCAGAACATAAGACACTGATGGCAGATACACACACACACACATGCGGCTACTGCTGCCAAGTTAGCCTCTCTCTCACACAGATGGACTTCGAATTTTCCCGTGAAAATCGACGTGTGTGTTTGTGAGTTGTGAGTTCAGGAATCGGAATTGAAAATTTTCTGCGCTGCCTTTCACATTTCAGTAGTTTCCGTTAATGCGTTCGCCACGTCGAGTTAGCTCCTTCCAATTTCTCCCTTCGCGTTGACGGTAAAAATCATAACAAAAACTGTTACTCAAAAAAAGAATTAAGAAAAGGGGATATTCAAAAAAACCATCGCACATTGTTTAAAGTGGCTAATAAAAAAAAAAATACAATTAAAAAAAGAAACAAAAAAAACCTGTCAGAAATTTATGCGTGGAAAATCGCTGCGGAAAATCGCAGACAACGACTCGTGAGCGCTTACGTCATGCGAAAAAATTTATCTCCTACATCGGATTATATATCTATTTCTATATGGCACATGTGGGCAAAGGCGTAAGCCAATAATAAACATATAGCGAGCGAGAAAAGTCCATTGATATAATTGAAAAGCCATCGATTCCAGCTGACCTTCAACCAATGACAGTTCGATTTTCATTTGTTTTCAGGGCTTCTATTTCCGGATATAAAGTTCTAGGACCTAAAGGAATTTTCAAATTTAGTTTTATCATAACATTTCGCTGGAAAAGATTCGTTTATTTAGCTCTGTAAACATTTCGGTTAGCTTTCATTTTTTGAAACAATATAAATGATCATCAATCTATTTTATGTTGATTTTAATATTCCACCAAATTCTAGATGATTCAGAATGATTGTCTTAATACTTTGGAGAGAATGCTTTGAAATAAGGATCATTAAATGATTTTAAAACATTAAAGAAAACACCGATTTGTGTATAGAGAAGATATTCTTTTCCTAAGATCATAAAAAATCACAATTTTTCATTCATAATATTTGCTTACTTTTTAGTACTTTTTAGAATAAAAAAAGAGTGCCAAAAATCCAATTTTTGCGTATTTTTAATACGCTTCCTATCAATCCCCAAATTTATATTTTAAATACCAGTTTGAATTTCTTTAATATTTATTTATATTTCCCATATTTAATTGCCAAAATATAAAGCGGAAATCTGCAAAACATTTGGCTGCTTCGATTCAATTTCAAGCGGACGGTTCGTTCGATCATGGGGAATTAAACCTTTGGGCCAATTAGGCTATAATTAATGCGACTTCGGTATTGCCAAATGCTGGCACATTATGACAGCCGTTTTGAAATTTCTGAAGATTGTATAATTAAACTGCGGCAGCGTCGGAGGGCGAGATACGAGTATATGTACCTATGTGTACGGCAGACCCAAAAATACATATTTCAAGCAAGCGTTAACCTGTGAAGAACCAACTGAAGTGCCATCAAATTTATGGGCGAATCTCTGCCCGTTCCCAATCTAAATTTATCGCGTTGCCCAAGCGAATGTGGGATTAGTCTTGCTGCCATCTAATTGAGTTATTGACATCGAGTTGGCTAAGCCGGAAATCGAATTGGAATTGAGAAGATCAGCCATCGAATTGGTTTATTTAGTTAGCGGTAGGCAAACAGAGAATTGCGAAGTACAGTGCGTTTCGTGACTGGCAAATCGGTACAACAATTTAACACTTTTTATGCGAAAACTTTTATACGTTTTTTTGACTCAATATTGGATTTTAAATACATTAATAATGTGCGTCTAAATCTTTTTTAATGATAGTTACTTCATCTATTTTATTGACTAAAACATAATAAATCAAGTAAAAATATTTTGTTAAATTATTTTAGGTGCTTTGAGTGTTTTTAGGTAGTTAGACTTATTGTTTTGAAGCCCACTGTGCCGTGCCATTTAGAAATAGATATTTATGTGCCATCTAAACACAGCGTAATTACGATCAAAATATGAGAGCCTAAACGAGCCGAAGGAAACAATTAAGCTAAAAACAGCGGAAAAGAGCCGGAAAATAAGCAAACAAAAGTCGAAACCAAAAGGTTTCTCATCGAGTGTTGTGCATTGTTTGTTTTTTTTTTTTTTTTTTTTCGTTTTGATTTGGTTTGGTTTGAGTGACTGCGGCAAGATGCCTCTGTACTCGGACTCGACCAATTACTACTACAGTGGCGGCAGCAGTCAGCTGTATTCGCCGTACTACAGCTCCGGCTTGGGCCTGAATTTGGGCATCGGCTCCTCGCCGGGATCGAGCTACACCTCCAGCTACAATCGCTCCTATCCGGCGAGCTATATGGTGCCCCTCAGTCCCTCCTCGCCGCGATCAACGAGCAGCTACTCCAGCGGCAGTTCGGGAGGAAGTAGCTCCCTCCACGGATTGGGTTCCAGATATCAGCCGAAGCTAACCACGATCACGGAGACGGGAAGGCACAGCAATCACAGCAGCTTGATGCCCCTGACCAGGATTAATTCCCCGAAATACAGCACTTCTGTCACCACACCAACTTATGGTTCTTCGGGTGCGAGCAGTCGATATATTCCGGCGAGACCCATTGCCATTAATACGGCGGATATCGATGTGAGTTCTTCGCGATATCGCAGGAACGTGGCTTCCAGGGAGGATCCTTCAAAGGATGAGCCACCCAAAGAGGAAGTCAAGCAGCAGGAAGAAAAAGTTAAGCCTGCTGTTAAGGAAACACCTAATGAAAGCCAAGATCAAAGCACTGAAACACGACCCAATCGAAGGTCCACCATCAAGAGGAATCGTCCTGTGGTGCGACTCTCCACGATTAGAAGACGCAGCAAGGATCGCAGTGCCGAGAGTCCCAAGAAGGAGCCGGTGCAGGAACATCAATTCCGGGACTTGCCACCTGCCACGGAACCCAGTTTGAGTTGGCGCCAAAAGCTGGCCGAGGAACTGGCCGCCTTTCCCGTGACCAGCAACAAAAAATCGCCGGGTGAATTGCTCCGTGAGAGATTCTACATAAAGGATGGAAAGGAGGAACCACCCAGCTTCAATCAAGCCAGAATCCAGGAGTTAAGTCAACCACAAAGTGCTCAAAAAACACAAGCTAAGGAGATCGAGTTGAATCTTAAAAGTGAGAACGAAGAGGAGCAGGATGACTCTGATAAACAGGAGCAGGAGTTGGAGGAAATGCAGCAGACCATTCGTCGCCTGAGTCTCGTGCAATGTCCCACATTTCATGACATTTGCGAGGATATATCCTCCGATAAGATCGATGATGATCTGAATGCAGGGGAACTTCGACGTCGTGCTTCGATAATCCAAGAGCAAGAACAGGAGATTTTGAATAAGCTGCAGAAATCCAATTCTGGAACCTTTCAGCTGATCCATTTGGAACGCAGATCCAGTCACGATAGCACCACCACAAATGACGAGGATCTCAAGGAGAGATCGAAGAGGCGTTCGAAGAAGAGCAAGAAGATGCGGCACAAAATCACCGCCATTGTGGATGTGGAGAATGCTCCACCTCAAGTTGCTCCAGTTGATCACATGCCCAGTGTCCTGGAACTCAACGAGGAATCCCTGTTGGTGCAGCCTCTGGTTTCCCTTTCCGGTTCCGGTTCGAGTTCCACCCCGAGTCCCAGTCCCAAGCCAAAGTTCACCGCGAATGTGGAAACCGTGGAGGAACATCTCCAGATAAACAAGGTATTCAAGTTGCCCAAGAAAAAGACAGTGGGAAAGGAGGAAAAGGTAGCTACGCTGCCCGAAGGATTCATGCCGGCAGCTCCCAAATCAAACAAAACTTCACCTGTGAAGAAAGCGAATAAAAAGCAACAGGTTGGTGAGGCACAGGTTTTCACCTTCGATGAGACAGCCATTCAGCAGCAGAATAATCTGGCTATTCAGCAACAGCAGCAAGTGCTTCCAAAACCTAAGGAACAGCAGCAACAAGTGCTACAAAAAGCGAAGGAACAACAGCAACAACCACAAACTCCTCAGCAAAAAGAACAACAAGAACACAGGCCGGAGGTTAAGGTCGAAGGCGTTGCCACGCCCAAGCCCATTCGCAAAGCCATCCAAAAATCAGAGAGCGGTGAGGACTTTTGGTCGCAAATTGGCTCCAGGGAAACCCTTTATATGACCAATCGCAAAAAGGTCTTCAACGAGCGACAAGAACAGCTCATCGAAGAGGAATCTCCAAAGTCCCCAACAACGCCCTTGGAAACAAAAACGGAATTGAAAAACAAGGTTACAGAACCCAAGACACCAACAACACCCAAATTAAAGTCGGAATTACTTATTGAGTTGAAGACAACACCATCAACCACTGCAACAGCTGGTGGCAAAACTGGAAATCAAAAGGGATTACCAACACCACTTACTCCAACGATTGTAAAACCCAATGAAGTTGAAGTAAAGAAAACAGAATCCACTAGCTCCGAAGCAAAAACCAAGCCAACAACTCCAACTGATTCCCCAATTGAACTTCTTAAATCCAAGACATCACCAGCCGTCGCCAGAAAAGAATTACCAAAACTTATAACAACAGAGGAAGCGAAGCCACCAATGACAACCAAAACAACGGTCGCAACACCCACAAAAGATTCACCAAAAATACCACAAACTAAAGTGGAAACACCAACCAAAAAAGCAGAAACACCAGCATTAACTAAGGATTTGCCTTCGACGCCACAAATCAAAGTGGAAAAAGCAACAAAAGTTTCACCAACAACTAAAGTGGCCACTCCAACAACACCACAAATTAAAGTTGAAACACCAACAGAGGGTTTACCAACCAAGAAGGTGATCACTCCAACAACACCACAAGCCAAGGCAGCTGCATCAACAACACCGCAATCAAAGGTTGACACACCAGCAACACCGCAAATCAAAGCAGCAGCAACACAACCAAAAACTGACACTCCAGCAACACCAACAAAAACACCACAAGCCAAAGAAGCAACCGTAGCAACACCAAAGACAACAACAGCAAAGATCAATGTGACAACAACGACAGCGACAACTGTTGCTGAGGCAGGAAAAACAATATTCGCCAGCGGGGCTAAGCAATCTGGCAACGCCGTAGCCATGACAACAGCAACACCAACAGCAGCAACAGCAGCAACAGCAGCAACAGCAACAACAGCAACAACAGCAACAACTACACCAACAGCAGCAACAGGCAAATCAAAATTGAACGAAACAGCAGGGCCAAAAATAAATAGCGGGCAGCCGGCCAAGTCACCTGAACAACAACAGGCAACGGCAGCCGCAGTCGAAACGAAAATAAATAAAACAACGCACAAGGAACAACAGCAACAGCAGCAGCAGCAGCAACAACAACAACAACAACAACAACAACAGCAACAGCAGCAGCGGGAGCAACAGCAACCGATCGACACGGCAGCAACATTGGTGCCACAAACGGAAACCAAAACGAAATTGACGGAAGCCGCTGAGCCAACGGCCAAGTCAAAGGTGCAATCACCGAAAACGACAAAGCCAAAAAGTGCCGGCAAAACAAATGTTGGCAAAAAGAAGGCAGCAACAGCAACGGCAACGGCAACAGCAACGCCGGCAGCAGCAGCAACACTACCAGCAGCAGCAACAGAAAGCTTAACAGCTCTGTCTGAGAGCAATGTGACCCCAATCAATGCCGATCAATTTATAACGCTGGCCCCCACAAAGGCGGCCAAAACATCGCCGAGCAAGCAACAAGCATTACAATCCCAATCGCAATTGCAATTGCAATCGCAAGTGCAACAACAGCAGCAGCAACAAGCCACAAATGCGTCATCGCCGGCGGCAACAGGCGATGCAACCACAACGCCCACAACGATAACAATTGGTGTTGCTGCTGGCGTTGCTGTTGCTGCTGTTGATGTTGCTGCTGCTGCTACTGATGTTGCTGTTGCTGCTGTTTCTGCTGCTGCTACTGCTGCTGCTGCTACCTCGGTCGGCGGCAACAACAGCTGCGGCGAAGGCGTCGGCAATAATTTATCAAAGTTTGCAACAGTATCGAATTTGGCACAGTATCTGCGAGACGTTGATGCCGATCTAGAGGACTATATACCCTCGTCGGCGGAAAATAGCCAAGACGAAGACGACGACGACGACGAAGGCGAAGGCGAGAGCAGTTCCGACGATTATTCCAGTGGTGACGGTTGTGCCAACTTGAGTGCCAGCATGAAGAAAAAGCAGCGCAAGGAGAAGAAGAAGCAGAAGGCGAAAGCCGCCGCCGCGGAGGCGCCACGCTTCGATCCGCACAAGAAGATCAAGATCGATACGACGAACAAGTGTTATGTGAAGGAGGAGGCGCCGCGCTACCCACTGGTCGCCACCCCGCGTCCGCTGTGGAAGCGGGAGAAGATCGTCTACTCGGACGAGAACACGGACGATGAGTCGGGCAGCGAGGAGGGGAGCGGGGGATCGCTGGACGAGGACAGTGACGACGAGTCCGGCGGGGAGGAGTGCAGCACCTCCAGCAGCAGCGGAAGCTCCGAGGACCTCGAGGTGTCCGCCAATCGGAAGGAGAACTCTTCGTCCGCCATCACCGTGGTGGACTCGCCCAGTTCCGCCGGCTCGAATGCCGGCACACTGAGCGCAACCGGGGGCGCCTCCGCTGGGAGCTCGCCCTCGATCATCCGGATGAGCACCTGCAGCAACGATTCCGGATTCGAAGGCGGCACCGCGCCCTCCAGTCCCAAGAAGATGCTAGGTAAGGAGTCCGACTTTCCCGTTACCGGTTCCGGTTCCCCATTACCGATTACCGATTACCGCGAAATTACGACGAAAACTACGGCGGACAGATCAGTAAATACACAGAGAAAAAATCAAAGCAGAGCTTTTTATACCAATAATGCTACAAAATCATTTTAGCAGTATCTGTTCTTCTTGGCGGCGAATTAACTTTTTGTTTCAAAAAAAAATCTGTTAAGATAAACTTTGTTGTTTTTTAAAAAGTATCAAAACATTCCAGAAAAAGTTTTAAAAATATTAATTTTTTAAACTGTAAATATTTAAATCCATGTAGACGTTTAATGATTTAATTAGTTTTTAAATTCAACTTCCAAAATTTAAAAGATAATTAACTCAATATGTTCCATATTTTTTTTAAACATAAGAATTATCCATAGTATAAATACATTTATGGCAGATAATAAAAAAGTTACTTTTAAAAGCTGCTGAACCTACAAAAAAGCTTAAAGTCATATAAAACATGCTTATCAATCAGTTCTCTTGATTTTATGATGAGCAATAAAGGCCACGCACCGCTATCTTTTTTTTCTCTGTGTACATCTTGCCACATCCTCACCATTTCCCCCCCTTTGGTCACTTGAGTGCGGCACGTGTCCGGATCAAAAAAGAGCTTTCGACTTACTGGCAATGCCAGGCATTTCGGAATGCTTTCGTTTTCACAAAACACCGATCTATAGATATGAGATATAAGATATAGACAGCCGCAGCCTCAGGCATGCAAACAATTCTGGGTAAAAGTTGAGAGACAAAGAAATAAACAAAGTCATAACGATCAATAGCTAGTATATCATCCGGGGAAAACGATGCCCCGTCTATAAAATATATATTCGCGGCTAGTCGGTGGCATAGTAATGCATCTGAACTCAAAGTGTTAACTAGGAAGTGCAAAAACTTGCGATCGTCTTCCCCGAACAATGCGACGGGTTCAACGAACTGCAGCTGGAGGAAAGTTGTGAGTTTTTGGGTGAACACGATTTTGGCGGAAATTCGGAATTTTGCATGTTTTTTTCGTGACACTATTTTTTGGGATACCAGAATTTTTGGCACGCGGTTTTTTTACGAAAAAAAAAAACAACAAAAATGTTATTTGAAACTTATTGGAAATTTACTTGTGAATTTTCTTTTTTCTATTACATTGTTTTCTTACTTTACTCTCTGCGTATTTCATTAAAAAGTATTACATTTTCAAAAGAAGTGTTTCAGTGTTGACGTCGTTTGTTTTGCAAATGTGTACCTAAAAAGATTTTCATCGATATCTTTTTCTTTTTTTTTCCTATTTGTATTTTTTTAAGTGAGTCTACAGTTAAAACTGAACATATTGTTTTTGCTAAAAAAAACATATATGATATATATGTGAAAAAATGTACCAACAAATTGCTTTGTTTTTCTAGCCACTATTTTGTTTATGGTTATTTATTAGCTTTGCTTCTCATGTTGTGCGATTGTGAATATGGCAAATCGACTTCCTATTTCTTTCGCTCGATTCGTGTTTTATGTAATTTTTCGCCGAGAATTTTATCGTTGATTACTGTTCCGTGGTGGCGTTTCCTTGATGTTTGTGCGAGAATTTGCTAGAGATCCGCTGCCAGAAGCCGCAAGAAAAAAAAAAAGAAAAGAAAAGAATAAAGAGAAGGAATCGACAAGTTGGCATTTTACTTTTAGCCAAAACAACAAATGAAAACAATTTGTTTAGGTCATCGTCGTGTCTGTCTGGGCAGAGAGAAAGCTTTCGCATCCGACCGGGGAATAGGTATATATCGGCTATATCTGCAGAGATACTATATGTACTTAGACATTCCCCTGCAGCTGATTTAACAATACAAAACAACGCAGTTATGGTCTGTAGTCAATCTTCTCCCCATCCGATTATATAAATACTCTTAAAGAGCGCGAAAAATGGTTTGTTTTGAGCTTCGTTACCACACTGCGTATACGTGATATCCGGGCATCCGCCTCAATTAGTTGGAAATGCAATCAAAGTGGGCAGAAACAATTGCGGACCCGCATTGTTTATGCGAGCAGAACCTCCCACCCGAAATAATCAGCGGAAATTCATGTATTTAAGCCGATTTGGGTGCACTGAGAAAAATAATTATGTATTTGGGTTTATGATGTTCGGAAACGGGAAATTTATTTTGGTAAATCAAGTGCTTCACAACAACTATTATTTCATTTAATATATGATTGTGCTCTTGAGATCAGCTTAATTTCTCGTAAGAAGGATTCTAAAATTATCGATTATCCTCTTAACTTATATTTCTTGATTTCAATTAAAAAACACATAATTCGAGCAAGAAATATATTATATTTATTGGATTTTCTGTAGCCTGCATTTTACATTACTTTCCTAATGCGCTAACTTATTCAGTTCAAATCTTAATTAGTTTCAACAAAATTAATTTGTAGATTTAGTAAAATGCGCTGTTTTTAATAAAATGAATTCAAAACTCACAAAAAATTGTTTACGTGGTCTAGATCTAGTTTTAAAATAGGATGATTAGTCTAAACTCTATATTCAATAATAATGATAGCACATGTCAAAAATAAACCAAAAATGAGTCAATTTCTAAACGCGAGTATATTCCCACTCAGAAAATATTTAGCTCGAGCCAAAAAAGCGTGCAGCCAATAAATCGCAACAGAATACTGGGTAACCGACCCCATCGCTTCAAAATTTAATAACAATTTGTTTGCAATTAATTCCCCTCCAATGCGAATCGATGCGTGGGCCAATTTCCACACTCACATTCGCTCAAAAATCGAATCGAAACACGCGAACCAGAATGTGACGTGAATTGTCACAAGAAATGCGAGCGGCTCACGGCCAATTTATGCGGTGTCAATCAGAAACTCATCGTCGAGGCACTCAACCACGTGAAGCGAGGTAAAAACCAGACAAAATGCACAAATCACATCGAAAATGGGAACGATGGAGGCCAAACATTAATAATATTCTTAATATTTTGCGCCTCGAATTTGTGGATCTGATTTTGCGCGGAATAGAATTTGAAATGCGTTAATTAAATGGGGGGAAAGTAAGACGACCACGCAGTTTTCTTATGAAGTCTAAAAAAAATATTTTTATTACAAAGATCCTTGACACATCCCAAAATATATCTTTGATTTAAAAATGATTTTAGTGACATACATTTTCGTTTTCGTTGAATTAGTTACAAACTATACTTACTTAAATTCAATTGAAAAAATATGAATCCATTATTTCTTACCTAATAATAATTTACTGTTGGTTCATTTCAAAAATTTCGAAACTAAACTTATAAAATTCCAGTACGAGTAAAATATGGTATTATAAAAGTCCTTTAAAGTCCAAGAAAGAAACAAATTGTCGTTGCCCAGATCTCGCAAATTAAATTTCTGCAAGCAAAATCAGTCCCATAAAATAAGATACAGATCTCATAAAGATCTCTGTGCCAGACCCCGACTAATGATCTTGAATAATTAGGAGCCCGTGAAGCCAGAGACTCACCGAGCACACCGCCCAGTTTGAATCCAGCCTATAAAATCGAGGCCAGCGAAGAACACGATGGTATGCCGAATAAAAATGATATTTATCCACTAAAACCCTAAGATCCACTCAAGTGACCATCGGAAACTACTCATAATCCGACTACTTTTCTTATGAATTTTCTAAACATGTGTAACTAACGTTGAGCCTTCTTTTTCATGACCTTCTCTCTCTTTCTCCAACTTTATGAATCTTTCCGTCTCGATCGCACAGAAACATCATATACATATTCACAATTCCAAAAATCCGGACGTTTCACTGCGCCAGCAACAGTAATACCTAGATTTAAGAATTATTCGGTAGATGATTTCCACTTTTTGGCCGTTCTCGGCAAGGGAAGTTTCGGCAAGGTGAGTTGTATACCCTAAACTAATTTATTTTAGAGTATTATTATACCTAAAATGTGAACTTATAAGGTTCTGCTGGCTGAGCTGCGCGATACGACGTACTACTATGCCATCAAGTGCCTGAAAAAGGATGTCGTCCTGGAGGACGACGATGTGGACTCGACGCTTATTGAACGCAAGGTCCTGGCTTTGGGCACCAAACATCCCTATTTGTGTCATCTGTTTTGCACTTTCCAAACGGAGGTAAGTTCAAACCAGTTCACAAAAAATTCAATATTATAAGTGTAATAACCTTAAAGACCTACACGGCCTAAGTTAAAAATTAGAATACCAAAAAATGAATCAATATGTTAGCACCAGTTAAAAAAAAAACCTTGAGGAGGGTCACCAAAAGGTCAATGACCCCCAACTAAAAGAACAGTTTATCGATAAAAACTTCACTGTTTAATCAACCAAATTGATTGATCGATTGATAGATTTATTCGCTTTCTTTTTTGATACCATTTTGAAAAAAATTAGAAAAATTAGTGGTTTAAAAGAGTTCAGATTAAGTTGTCTTTCTGCTTATATAGCTATTTTTCATTTTAATAATAATTCAAGAAGGGAAAAAATGAAACAACAAAGCTCTTGAAAACAAACCAAGACAGATGATTAAAAGATAAATTTATCAAGTTAAATCGAAATGGAATCTCCAGCTCAAAGTATTCCGATCAACCACTTCAAGGTGTTATTTGGTGATGCACTTTGCACCTTTTCGAGATTTCACTTTTCATTGAGCGGCAATCCTCAGGTGGGGGTCAATCGAATCGAAGGTGTGTCTGGCCGCCTGATCGATGCTTATCATATAGAACAATCGGATCGATCGGCTGGCTATTTTTAGCCAGAGTAAAGGTAAAACGTGCTAAGTTTAGACCACTGGGGTCTGGCCATCGATTGGGGCACACGACGTCGATCGGACATCATGTAGATCAGGGTGCCTGTCCGTCCCGTCCGCCTTGTGTGTTCTCTCAATCCGAAAATTTGCATCTGCATCTGCTGCTGCTGCTGCCGCAAATGCAAATGCAACAGCAACAGCAACTGCAACTGCAACGTCTTGCATTGACACCGATTAGAAGGTATTTTAATTATTTATGACTTTGGGGGACGATCTCTTTAATCTCAATCTCTCGCTGTAAGTCTCTCGCTTTCTACCGCTCGCTATATTTTCTATATATTGGCATATCTTTCTATCCGCAGAGCCACCTGTTCTTCGTGATGGAGTATCTGAATGGCGGTGATCTCATGTTCCACATCCAGGAGAGCGGACGATTCTCCGAGGAGCGGGCCAGATTCTATGGCGCCGAAATCATCTCGGGCCTCAAGTTCCTCCACAAAAAGGGCATTATCTATAGGTTGGCTTCATCTTCACTTTATTTTTTATATATATTAATCACTTGGTTGAACAGGGATCTCAAACTGGATAATGTCCTGCTGGACTACGAGGGACATGTTCGAATCGCCGACTTCGGCATGTGCAAATTGCAAATCTATTTGGACAAGACGGCCGATAGCTTTTGCGGCACACCCGATTATATGGCGCCCGAAATCATTAAGGTAAATTATCTGTTAAATTATCGAATTCTATCAAATTCAGAGTATAGTAGTAAAATAAATATATATTTAATTTTCAAAAAAAAAAAACACTTTATTTGGGAAGATCATTTTAAATTGTCTAGATATTAACATTTTTATGGGAATGTATCTTTTATTATTTTCCTGCATTTATAGATTATATCATTAATGAAAATTTAAGCTCAAGAAATAGTTCTGCATTTTTTTTCCTATAAAATTTAATAATTTAATTTAATAATTTTTAAATTAGTTAGTTAAAAATGTGTCGTTTAAAACAAATGGTTTGTTTGTCTTATAAAAGTCAAAATACCCCCTCTCAGAAAAAATGTGTAAACAATATTAATATAAGATAGCATAACATACCTTTACTTTCCTTTTCGTACGAGCGAACGAGCGTTAAAGATCTTTTAAACAAATTAAGGACCTTCTTAATTTGTAGTTTTTATATGTAATGAACGTTATAATATATTTTTCTCTTCTATATTTTCAGGGTGAAAAGTACAATCAGAATGTGGATTGGTGGTCGTTTGGTGTGCTGCTCTACGAAATGCTGATCGGACAGTCGCCATTCAGTGGCTGCGATGAGGACGAGCTCTTCTGGTCCATTTGCAACGAAATTCCATGGTTTCCAGTCTATATATCTGCCGAGGCAACCGGAATACTTAAGGGGGTAAGTTAAAGAACTAAAATAAAATATAAGAAATCCAGAAAATATTATATTAAACATTAAATATTATTATTCTATTCAATACTAAATACATATTTTTAACTTTTATGTAGTTGCTGGAGAAGGACTATACGAAGCGCATTGGATCGCAGTACAGTCCAGCTGGTGATATAGCTGATCATATATTCTTCCGCCCGATCGACTGGGGATTGCTGGAAAAGCGGCAAATTGAGCCGCCCTTCAAGCCGCAAGTGGTGGGTCCTCAACCAGATTTATACCCATAATTCTTTTATTAATTTGTGCATCTCTTCGCACAGAAACACCCACTGGATACTCAATATTTCGATCGGGTCTTCACCAGGGAAAGGGTGCGCCTCACTCCCATCGACAAGGAGATCTTGGCCTCCATGGATCAGAAGCAGTTCCACGGCTTCACCTACACGAATCCCCACATCACCCTGGACTAAAACTTAATCGATATCCTAACTAATTATTTAGAGCAACAGTATTTGTATATGTAAATATTTATTATGGCAAAAACACAGCAGATTAACGACCAAAGAACCTTAATATCGAATTGGAATTTCAAAAATATTTAGTTAAGCTTGAAACCTTTACAAAAAAAAATTCTACGTAATTCTAGTCAGTTAGCAATACTTTTACTATATGTCTAAGTCTAATTGTACAGATATCCCTCCTCATATTTACCTATATATATACCTACACATATGAACTTTTTTTTGGCAAATTATTTGTTCTTAATTTTAGTGGTTAAGCAAAGGTCTACGTCTATGAGAAATAAAAAAAGTATAAACAATGTGGTGGTTTTTAAAATCATTGGTGAATAAAGACAATGTGTCGATTGAATGGAAATGTGATTAAGCTACCGTTAGCTGTATTTCCTCAATGTCTGATTATAAATGCGTACAGTGCGTTTCATGAAGGTGAAACTGCAAAAGTAAGGTACAACGTTATTTAAAATAAAATAATTCGCTTGTCAGAATTAGTTAATATGAATTAATAAGATTGTATTCGATCATATCAAACTATTTTGCAGATTTTCGATTTAAGAACCATATAATTTGTAAATCTATTGGGACTAATTCTTTTGATACCTATACCCTTGAAACGCACTGTACTGCCATATGCAAATGTGGACCAGTGAGAGTGATCAGCGGACCGATTTGGTCGCTTGAATTGTCAACTGCAAAAGCCGGCCCGAGTGAAAATTCTGATGCACGCTTTTCCAGCTTGCTAATCTACATAGAGAGTTCACTTTTTTTCAACGCGGGTGTCTTTTGTCTCAATGCTAATGAGTCGGATATGTGAGATGTATGTACATACGTGTGCTTTGTTTTTTTTCGGTTTTTTTGTTTGGGTCACCGGTGGCAGCGAGAGTGGACGGGTTATGTTTTAATGGGCAGCGTAATGGGCCAACTCTCGGCCCGTGAACCAGTTTAGTGTCAATCCACAGAAGGCATTCAAAGAATTATTCTCCTCCACTGTGGCATAAATCAGCTTCATGCCAACACTCACACACGCTGACTCACTTGATGTTTTAATAAATTTGTGCTGGCAGTACAATAGTTGGGCAAATGGCTGAAGAAAGGGCCACAACAACAGGTCCCCAAACAATAAACGTCCAGGCCCGGCCAGTTATGTTTTTATTTTCAATTCAAAGTGGCGGACATATCAAGCACAGTGGTTCAAAAAACCTATTTGAAACATTTAAATGAATAAATCTAAATGTTTAAGTTTATATGTATTCCTATATTTTTAAATGCACTCTTTCATGTAGCACAAATATTAAATGATTTAGGTAAAATACACCTGAAAACAGATTTTAAATTTATTTTTATTAAAAATCTATTATTTGAACTCAAACTGTAACAGTAAACTGTAAAACTATAAGTGGATATTATATAACATAAATCATGTGTTTTGAAAATTATTACTTTTATTATTGTGAGGGAATCGGATAATTTTTTTGAATGTTTATGTAACTAAACAAAAACAATTTTATACATTTTCAGAAGTTAAAAAAAAAACTATGGCACATCCATGAATTCTTGAGTTGAAATAAAGCAAAATGGTATCAAAAGAAAATTTACAATTTGTGTTCATGTAACTAGTTTATCATTGATTTTGGCCCACTGTGCGACGGTGTACCGTACGGTATTTTCTCTAATTAATTCGTTTTTACGAGCGCAGTCAGCTGGCTTTAGCTTTGGCTTTAGCTTGAACCGATCCGCGTTTTTGAAGTCCGTTCAGTTGGTGCAACACGGGCCTAGAACGCGCTGCTCTTTAGCTCCAGAGTCTTGTTCAAATAATACCAATTGCTTATTTTTTATTCAAGTGCTTATGAACCAATAGTGATTCTCGAGTAAAATGAGCTAACAACTGCCAGAAAATGCAGATTTATTGCCTGTTTATTGTGAGCCTATTAGGCCTAGTTGCTGGATATGGCCATCAACCGCTGCTGAGGAACATTATTAAAGTGCGGGCCAGTGGTTTTATGCCCTTCGAATCGGACTTACTACTGCCGTTGAATATTCTCCGGCAATTGCAATCCCAGGATCGATCCTCGCGATTTATTGGCCAGAGGCCCAAACCGCTAATAAGGCCAAAGGTCAAGCAGCAAATCAGATTGGAGAGGGCACATCCCTTGAGGGAAGCCAAGGGTGTACAGCTTTACAATCTCATCGACGATGATGGCGAATTGCTGCTGAATCTCAAGGTTCATCAGGACTCCAAGGTGAATCCTCCAATAAGTTATAAAAGCAGCGTGCCAGAGGAGAAATACCAGAGCAAATACCACGAATACGATTCACCCTGGATGCCCTCGAAGTGGAGACCCACCAGCGAGCTTCCCCTGGGGATCGCATCTTCGTCGCCACGCCCACTGCCCCTCCACCAATATCTGGGCCAAAGCAATCGCATCGATCAGAATACGGCGAAGAGAAGGCGGCAGGACATGTGGCCACATAAATAAAATATCAAAACCACATCACCAAAGTGATGATTTAAGGAAAAGATTATATATCTATTGAATTAGTTACTTATTCAGTTGTTTATTTTAAAACAACACAGCACGAAGAACACGCACTTAGAGAAAAGATAATTCTTGATCTTGAAACGAATCCTTTGAAAAACTAAAATAAAGGAGTTACATAATTGGGATAAGTACAAAGCAGTTAATATACAATATCAAGCTAATACGGGAAATACAAAATAATAAAATAAATATATTAAAATAAGGCGGATCCAAAAGGAATTTACATATATGCCAAATTTTTTTTAAACTTAATGAATTTTAAAGATTTATGTATAATAATATATATCTTTAAAAGGGACTTCAAGTTACAATGGAAATCATAAAGAACGTTTCAAAATCAAGAATTTCATTTTTTCGTCGTGCTGATTAAGATACAAAATAAACCAAACCAAACAAAACATATTTAACCTCACCATTAAATGCAATCCATAAGATACAACAAGAATATATGACACACAGATTAAACCACACAAATCATAATAATCCGTAAGACATAAAAACACGCAACAACATTATCCACAAGACACAAAACTAATCCATAAGACACAAAATAGATTTCTAAGCTTAAAAATAAACGTTAAGATACACAAATGAAATCCATTAGATACGAAGTGTTTCCATGATGCACACAAACTCGGCGATGAACAGGTCGTTGAGCTACCGCTAAATTGGACGACTATGATTATGGTAATGTCGGTCGATCGATCGCGTTGAAAGTGAAATTGAAACGCGAATCGAAAGTGGTTTACACCGACCGAATGGAACCGAATAAAAGGTAAAATGCTAATTCACGCAACTCAACGGACCGTGAATAGATGGGAATTAGAATAGCGAGCTCGTGAAAGAAGAGTGTATTTTTAAATTAAGTTTTAAAAGAGATTAGAAATGCTTGATGATACCTGAAATTTAAGGCAGTACAAAATATTTGCTTCATATCAAAAACAAAATTAAGACTTCGTAAACATTTAAATATAAATAAATAAAGAAAAGTTCTTAAAATGATTCTGAATAATATCCCTTACTGATATTTCTAAATTTGATAAAAACTCTAAAAGAAATCTTCTTAAAATGTTTCAAAATATTTTTTATATGTTCAATCCCTCAGGGATATTTAAAAATTCCTGAGGCATTTGGTTTTTATAATCTTACGATTACAATATTGTTCCTTAGGATTTTCTGGCGAGGAATCCTAAAATCAAAGCACAAATCAAATGATTTATAATTTACAGATGGTATATTTGTTCAGGATGTGAGGTAGTATGGGTACAACAGTAAAAAAAATATGGGCAGAAAAAAATTTGGCTTAAAACTACTTAACAAAGCTCAAAGATCAGTATGGCTTGAATCTATTGGAGGCGAGGAACTCATTTCCAGCTGGAGGGGGCAGGTATCCAGGCTGGGGGGCGGAAACGGGGGGCAGGTACTCGTTGCTCGGAGGCAGGTACTCGTTGCTCACGATGGGGGCGGGTCCGTGGGCGTGGCCGCCCTCCTCGTGAATGAACTTGATGGTCTTGACCTCCTCAAAGCCGCCGTGCGAGTGACCGTGATCGTGACCGTGACCGTGATCGTGACCGCCGTGACTGTGACCGCCCTCCTCGTGGATGACCTTCACCACCTTGACCTCCTGGTGGCCACCGTGTCCATGTCCATGACCAGAGAAGCCACCAGCATAACCGCCACCGCCGCCCAGAGCGTGTCCCTCCTCGTGGATGACCTTCACGGTCTTGACCTCCTGGTGGCCACCGGAGTATCCGCCATGTCCGCCGGAGTAACCGCCATGTCCGCCAGAGTAGCCGCCATGACCGCCCGACTCCTGGTGGATGACCTTCACAGTCTTGACCTCCTGGTGACCGCCAGGGAATCCGCCATGACCGCCAGAGTAGCCACCGCCATGTCCGTGGTCATGACCGCCCTCCTCGTGGATGACCTTGACCACCTTGACCTCCTGGTGGCCACCGTGTCCGTGTCCATGACCCGAGAAGCCGCCAGCGTAGCCGCCGCCGCCGCCAAGAGCATGTCCCTCCTCGTGGATGACCTTGACGGTCTTCACTTCCTGGTGTCCACCGCCGGAGTAGCCGCCATGTCCGCCAGAGTAGCCACCGCCATGTCCGCCGGAGTAGCCGCCTTCCTGGTGGATGACCTTCACGGTCTTCACCTCCTGGTGGCCACCACCGGAGTAGCCTCCGTGACCGCCGGAGTAGCCACCGCCGTGACCGCCAGAGTAGCCACCAGCCTCCTGGATGACCTGGATGGTCTTCACCTCCTGGTGGCCACCACCGCCTCCAGAACCGATTCCGTAGCTGTAGCCACCGCCACCGCCGCCGCCACCACCACCGGATCCACCGATGAAGCCAGCCGACGAGGTGGCAACCAAAGCAGCCAGGACGCACACAAAGACCTGCGGAAAATTAAATAATTTAGGAGATATAAAATAAATATTATAATAAAGTAAAATGGTTTAAGCACTTCCTTGAATCAATACATTTTTATTATTCATTGTTTTAATAATTTTTATTTTGAATAATATATATTTTATATCATGCACTTCAAAAAAATATGAAAAAAATTTAACACGATCTTGTAAAACTTTGAGGTTATTACGATATACATATATTTGTTTTTAAAGAGTCAGTTTTAAAAATTGCATTTTAATAGTTTTTGCGAACAAACATATACTGTTTCTAAGTTAAATATTTTAAAGTTGACTTAAATTAAGAAAAAAGATTTTCTAATTTAAGCTTAAACTTTGTGCGATTAAAAAAAAACACTTTTTGAACTTGCTCGCTGATTTTTGTCACTGTGTATCGAAGACTCACCTTCATTGCTGGAAGTTTCTTGCTTGGGGGTTGAAAACTGGGGAACTTCACGTAGCTGAAGAGGAAGCTGGGAGCCAACTGATGATCCACTCCAAGCGATCGCCAGCTTTTATAGCGGCCGGATTGCGCGATGCTCCATCTCCGAACTTGCTTTCGTCATCGACGAGCGAGCATCCAACCTCCGTCCGTCTGGATTCGAGCCAGATGCAAATGAGACCGACCAGTGGAAAAAAAAGGTAAAAAGCTGGTCCATAATTGGACCAGCCGCCAAATTAATCCGCCGGGCATAAACGAATCGCTTGATGAGGGCGACCCCGCCCCCGCCGATCGCCTGATCGATGGGTTAGGTCAGTTTAGGTCGAGTCGGGTCGGGTCAGATTAACATTAACACTTTCCCAATGCAGTTTCTCGTGGGCTGCACTTTCATAAACATTTTAAAGATGCAGACACCGAAAATCTTGTGAAGCACTAACATAAAGTTGCCCAAAAGAAGATCGCAATATCATCTTCACTTCATATACAAGCTGAAAAGCAATTAAAAATTGTTGAAAAATGGGGAAAAAACCACTGAAAGATGTTTAAAGTAAATTAAAAAATATAATGTCTATTTGTATAGCCGTCTTTAATCGTAGTTCTAGTAAAACTTAAATTACTAAAAATACAAGAAGCATTAGGTTTTTTTAGCAGCCCTTTAAAGATTAGAAAGTTACTACAAAATTGCATACATTGCAAAAATACCCAAGAATAAATTTAGTTTTTTAATTCTGATCTTTAAGAAAATAATGATTTAACAATAATGAACCAATAAAATAGGATTCGCCAACTCATCTTTACTGAATAACTTAATAGTTTACCAAAACTTTAACCCAGAAACACTTGAAAAGAAAGACGCATTAAAAGTGAATAAAAACGTATGCAAATTAGTGCAATAATTTCGTTATCTTTCGCATTCAATTTCCAGCTGTTCGATTCGAAATTTGAAAATACGTTAAAAGTATAACGATTCCACTGCCCCAAGAGCCCCGCCCCCTTTTGATTGGCCAATTTGGGAATTGTGTAAAGCAAAACGGCAAAAAAAAACCCGAAAATCGGGGAAGAAATAGATGTCGAAAAAGAAGCCGCGAAATGTTTCGGTAAAGGGCGAACCAATCCAAAGCAAAACGAACCGGAGGAAAGGCAATTTGAATCATTTAAATAATATTACAATATCAAATTGGTTTTGCAGCTGACCGATTAATCACATCCGACAGGGGACAACCCCGAACAGATGTTGAAAACAAGACAAATCGGATGAGACAAGATGGTTTAAGTGGCGAAGGTTCAAAAACTTTGGGGGCTACAATGATACAATTTTCTGTGAAGCAGCCTTTGATTTGGATAATTAATCTTGTCTATCTGAAGAATAACCCAAAAACTAAGTGTACAATCTGTAAGTTAAACAAATGTTACATTTAACTTGTTTATTTTAAAAAACAAAAACCTATATATCATTATATTCCCTATAATTTAGAAAATTTAATTTAATAACTAAAAATTCCGGGGAAAATATAATTTCTTAATTTCGTTTAAGGCTTTTCATCTGGTTAAGTAAAGAATTCACTTACAATACGAAATGTTCGAAATCATTTAAGAATATCTCATTACTTTTTAAACTGTTTTTTCTATAATACTTTTTTTTTGTATTTATTGATTTACCAAACCTTGACAATGAATACCTGCAAAATTCACTTATCTAAAAGTTTTCGAAATATAAGGCAAAAACCTAGGCAGTTTTTAAAGCAATCAATTGAAACAATTTTATCTTAGAAAAACTAATTCAGTAACAAAGTAATCCCTCTAATAAAAATTGCATAACAAAATGCATAAATTTATAAATCGAAGATGCAACCACTTTCACTTGTTTAGATAACCACAATTTAGAAATCTAATTAGAGAGAGACAGAATCAACCGGCCAGGAATCAGAAAGGGATGGAAAATAAATGAAAACACAGTTTACCAGTCCATTATGAATTATCTTTATCAATTCGCCTTTGTGTGTGCTTCTTTAGCTGAATTCGCTTCAATTACAATACATTGCTAAGAATAGTTTAATCCGATGGTAAACAAACAAAAAAAATAATTATTTTTATCCATATAAAAATTGATTTTCACTTGCAGTTGTTTTCTTTTTTCATACTTTTTTCTTTTTCGTTATGTTGATGTGTTTGATGTTTTAAATATTAGAATTATACAAACATAATAATATTAACAACATTAGAGTAATGCAAAAGAGAGAGAAGGGGAGGCAATTTGGAGGGGATTTGGGTGTTAAGAATTAAATAAACGTAAGCTTTACTGTGTAAAAAGTAAACATTGTTGGCCACGAATAGCAATGTCGATGAAACAAGTAAGATAATAACCAAAGGTGGGGGATTGGGGCTTCAATGTGGGTGAGTGGGTGAGAGGGGATGTGGTGTGTGTGTTAGCCTAGAGTACATAAGTAGAGCTCAATTAAAGTTAATGTCGGTTGGGGGCGTGGCGGCGTAGGCAGCTGGGCGGCGGCCTACAAGGCAACGATCACGCGATCGCACAGCTGTTCCGGCTGCCGCTCGTCGGCGTCTTGCAGCGGTTCTTGCTCTTGGAGCTCTGCGTCAGCGAGTTGAAGCACTGCGAGGTGGTCAGCGCGTATGACTTGAGCGTCGACTTCACCGACGGCGGCAGCGGCAGCGAGTCGATCGCGTACACGCTCGTCCTCCGCACGATCGTCCTGCAGCACAGCTCCTGCAGCGACAGCACTGCAAAAATATGGAAAATTAGTTATAAAATTCAAACAATAGCTTTATAATTATGGAGTGGAAGCGCAAAGTAGATACTAATACAAGCAGGAATCTAAAACAAAAACCCAGGAGCTATCATCTTTACAATGAGCTTAAATTAATACAGTGTTGAATTAAGCCAAACTAATAATTGGGAAAAAGTACCTATAATTGATCAATGTGTTTATATTTCAAACCTATGTATAATGATAATTGGTCTGGATTAAATTGTAGCCTGCAAGAACTTACTAATGATTTCCTTTTATTTATCATAAAAAGTTCAATGTACTCGTTGAATTAATTTCTTAATATATAAAAAAACAAGAAATTTATGTAAGCCGATATCTAAATTACTAATACAAATCAAACAATAAGCAATAATAACAGCCAAACTATGATTAATGGTTGAAATGACATAATGAGCGCCTTTATTCAAAGTTAATCAAAACAGACCTAAGTTAAGTAATTAAAAACCAGAGATAATCCCCCGAAGTCAATTAAGAGTGGAAGCTTCACACGATAATAAATGAGAATTGGCCTAAATTTACCATTTAGTTCAGATTAATTGGGACAAGTGCTAATTTCTTGTTATATAATAATAATAATAATAATAATAATGTATCAAAAAATCTTAGCAATATGAACGAATATTTTAATAAATAATAATAAATTTTAATAAGTAGTAAGTTAATGCTGATATTTATCATTTTGCACTCCCCCTTCAATAGTTATAATTACCCTTATTGCTGCGCCAAATATGCTCCATTCCGTTGCGGTGCAGAGCCATTCGCGCCAGTTCGCAGAAGGACTCGCGGATGTTGAAGTCGCAGAGAGGCGATATCTCAAAGCAGGACATGTTGTTGCGACTCGCGTAAGTTTCAGCCTGTTTGGCCGCCACCTGCCGCTTGAAGGCCAAGTGCAGGCGATTCCCCACCAGAACCTTTGGGATGCCAGGAGCGTGCTAAATAAAGATATATAATCATTACATTAAAGTGTTTATAAATAAATATAGCAAGGTATTCACAAGGCAAATTACGTTGATTTAATACAGCTATAAATTCCGAGCAGGGCTTGGTATTTATGATAACATAAATTACAAAACGACTAAATGTTTTTTTTTTAAGACAAGTAAGTTTCGTTTTACCTATACATTTATACTCTTTAAACGTAAATAAAGAAGTCTCAAATATTAATAAACTTAGAAGTTTTTAAATTTGTTTAAATGCAATACATAGAAACGAAAAGTTATTTAGGACTTCTTTGACAGGTTATGACTCGATATTTCAATGAAATTACTGGTTTTAAAAGCAGTATTTGAACCTAATTCTCGTGTTTTCCTAATGTGTAATGTTTACTGCCTTGTCAGTGTTTTTATGTGATGATGAGGGAATGTTATTCATTCCCAAAATTCCCAACTGACCTCATCGACTTCCTTTAGCCATCGATCGATGCCGTCGAAGCTCCACTTGTTGGTGATGTCGTAGACGAGGATGATGCCCTGGGCGCCTCGTGAATAGGATCTAATGATCGTGCAGAAGCGTCCTTGGCCGGATGTGTCCCACAGCTGCAGCTTCACCCGCTTGCCCTCCAGCAGAATGGTGGTCGTCTTGTAGGCTACCGTTTGGAGGATATGGGAGGTGCAGTCTATTAGACGGGATTGCAGTGGTTGTCGATCGCAGGGTGTGTCAGCACTTACCGTTCCCGCTGCAAAAGGGACTCTCCGTGGAGGGGTCCTCCAGGTTCGATAGGATCTCGTGCTTGCCCACATCGCTGTCGCCCACCAACAGAACCTTAAGCAGATAGTCGTAATCCTTGGTCATGGTTCCCATGTGGCTGCAATTCAATTGGAATTTGATGAATGTGTAAACTTAATGTTTGTGTTTCTAGAGTAGGATAGCAATAATAATGAATAATGAAAGCGGGAAATACATTGCTACCTTAATTTGTTTACATTTTGTTTTGTTCAGAGGTCTCCGAAATGAATGACTCCAGATTCAGGTACCATAGATAATTTCACTGCGAAAGCATAATTTTACAGATACCAAAATAAAAACCAGAAACCGCAAAAGGTGTAGTCATTAAATGACAATCTTGTCCTCTTTTTACAAAATTCCAAATGCAATTAATTGTGGGCTAGGGTTTTGTGGCCAAAGTGGTTGTGGTTCTTTAACACTTATTCTCCTTCATTTTCTTAACCGGGCTAACCGGTATGTAGAACTCGCGAACCGGCAATATTTGTCCGTTCTATTTCTGTAAGCCCAGTAAATTGTTATGTGAGTCATGCTAACTGAAACTATAAACAAATTCCACTTATTTTTAGACTTCTGCACTTGTTTTTACGTCGCGTAGTGTAAAAGGATTTTCAATATTACACACACACAAGCAAAATTGGGTGTGTTTTGTTTTGCAATTTATGTTCACGAAATTTATGACTGTTTATGAAACAATTAAAACGTGAAATGGTTGCAGTTTATGAACTTTATTTTTACAACAACAAAATGAAGATGAAAATAAAGAAAAACATTTGCGCATTTGTGTTTTTTGCATTTGTGTGAGTGTTGACTTATTTTGATTGTTGATGGTGCTGTAAAATATTTATGATTTTCGAAAGGTTTTTAAAGGTTTCGATGTTCAATCTGTGGTATTACTAAACGATTTTTGGGCGTTTAACTTACCATTTAGAATGCACGCAATTTCATTTTCGTTTTTGTAATAGAGATGAGCGATTTCCCTCGCCCTGGTGAATTTTTCCCGGCTGGCTTTTCACGCTTTCACTCCCCCATAAATTACTTAAATCGAATTGCGGTTGTATCTTCCATTTATCTTGATTTGTTGCTGATTATTTGTGGCTTTTATTCTGCGAAAATTAACACGAAAAATCGCAATTTTGCTCATTTCTATAGGGATGGACCAACTGGTAAGTGGATCATATCGATAACCTATCGAAATAGCCGTTTCGTCAAACAGTGTTGATAAAGAATTCAACAGAAAACAACAAGTCTATTTTCAGACAAGAAAAATTTGTGAATGTCTTCATAAAAAAGTTAAAATAAATTTAAAACAACTATCTGATTTGCCAACTTGTTGCATTTATCAACACCTAAGCACGACTGGCGTTGGTAGCTCCACGTAAAATATCGATAGATGTTAAATAAAAAAAATATTTAAACAAATACAATTAACAATTTAACAATTGTATTAAAGGCTCTTTTAAAATATTAAATGAAAATTACCAGAACAAAATAACTTAATCCCTATCAGTAACAATTGTCAAAACATATATAGCTTAATTAATTGCAATAAAAAGCTTTTTCCCTTATTTACTTTAACTGTTAAATGTTAACATTCTAAATATGCAACTGTGATGTTTTTTTTTTATGTTGGTTAGCAAATTTTATTTTATTGCAAAACATCTTATTACTATAATCGATTAGTTTGCCATGCAATTTTATCTATTATGGTATTAAGAAAACAAAATATTCGATAGTTTAAATTTATGAACCTACAGGTTCCTCCAATTTTGTCGTGCAATGTGTTATCGAGCAATCGCTGTGACCCGTCGACCTATCGGCCGGGTGTCATCGCCAGCGCGTTCGAACAAAACGGAACACAGAAACACAGAACAGAACAGAATTTCGTAGCGCTGCCAAATATACACACACGATTGTTCCGATTACTCCGATCCCAACCTATCCGATTCGCGCGCCTTCGGATTTATTAAATGCACTTGTGTATTTATTTATAAACGCCTGTTTAAGGCGCCAATTCGGTAGAAATAAAGTGCAGGTCACCGACGCGTCGTCGCTGCCGCAGTCGGCGTCGCTGCTTTTTGTTGCTGTTTAACGGTGCTACGCTAAATGCGTTAAATATTCGCAACTGTGTGTGTGCTGTTTTTTGTTTCTGTTTTTTTTCTTGTGTGCAAATTCAGATTTGATTAAGAGTTTGTAGGTGTGTGTGTGTGTGTGTTTATTGGTGCACCTATGCTGGCCCTGGCCCCGCCCACCACGCCGCCCCCTCGAAATGCCCCGTTAGCCGCGAAATCGAATCTTTTTTCTGCAACCGCAATGCTGTCAAACGGCTCTGCCGGCGTCGCCGCCGACGTCGCTGCTAGTGTTGCTGCCTCGGCCGACTGCGATGAGCGAACGCTCCTGCTTAGCGAAGAAATTGTTGTTGCAACGCCGACGTCGCTGCCTTCTTCGTCCTCTGCCGGCGTAGGTGCGGCTTCGCCGCCGACGTCGCTGCCTTTGGTGCACACAACAACAACAACGCAGCAGCAACAAAACAACAACAATGTGCAAAACAACAACAACAATTCGTCAGTTGTGGTCAGTGCAAAAAACATGGCTAATAATAAAAATAACAGCGGCAAATGCAAAAACAACGAGGCCAGCAGCAGCAACAACAATAATGCAGCAACAGAAGCGGTATCAACAGCAACAGGGGATATAGAAGCGGTGACAACAACAACAACAGCTGATGAGGAGGATATGTCCAGCGATCTGAGCGACAAGTTCCCACGACCCCAAAAGAAACCCGGCAAACTGAGCAAACTGGGCACTAAAAGCGTCGGCCTCAAACGGTGCGATATTTATGGTTTTACTCTTCGTTTCTAGCTAAATCTTCATACTTATAGTTGTGCTGCTCTTAATTTCTTAAGATTATGTCTTTGATTCCCTTAAACTAGTTCTTTTCTTATTACTTTTCTCTTTTCCGTTCCTATTTCTATTTACGGATCCCCGTCTTACCTTTATATTTAGAAAATATTTTTACCTGCATTGCTGTACAAATTCTGATGTTGGCTGAGTTCAAGTTTCTAGAAGAGCCTTATTTTCCATCCTATATCTTAAAATCAGTGCCATATACATATGTTATACATATACCATTTTCACCAATAAAGTACCCTTGTTTTTGAGCCAATTTTTATAAATCATTTCTTAAACTTCCACAATAATTTGTTAACAAAAAATTAGCTTAACCTTTTAGAAAGTCTTCCTATTTCTGTTTATCACTCTGATTCAACTTGATCGATCGTTTATAGTTTAAGCTTGTGATCGAGTATCTTGAAGGGTATCGAAAGGATTACTTTCCGATTATTTATCCGTAGAAAGGTTTATATAAGTTGAGTAAAATAAATTTGTATTCGTAAACATTAGTACTGGCTCTACCGTCCAAAGATATTTTACTATTGATTCTTAAGCCAAATAATTTAGTTAGTTAACGTTATCGTGCATCCATTTGACCTCGCACCTTTTTTTTCGCAGCGTCTCTTTTGGGTCCTCGAAGGGTTCGATGGTGGAGACGCTGGTCTTCGAGACGCCGACGCCTTTGTCGGAGCACGTGGAGTCCACCTTTGGATTCGAGGCGGCAGCGGATTCTGCCGTCGATACCGCCGCTGCTGCCGCTGGTCAGCCGCAGTTGGCGTCAACGCTGCCGCTAGCCGGCGGCTACAGTGGAGACTATGCCAAGGGAAACCTGGATGACAGCGGCATTGAGGTGCAGGAAGAGTAAGTAAATTATTAAATTTAAGAATAATTACACCAGGAAATATTTAAACAGTAATAATTTCAAAGGCAAAACCTATTAAGAGAACGCTAAAATTAGGATTGAGGTGTTTTGTTTTTGTTTTTTATGACGGTGCTAACAAATCCGTAAATTAATATAGTATGCGCCCACCTACGAGAAAAAAATAACATGCCATATTAGTTATCCGACCTGCTAAAATACGAAGTCGAAGTATTAAACATGCTTTCAAGAAAATGTAATAAGGAGCTAATTTTAATTTTGTCTGATGAAAAACCACGATGTAATAATTTTATTTCCGTTATTTTCGTTAGATTATTCGATCTTCCCTATGGCAGCAAAATGATAACGTTGTCGGATTTTAATGAAATTTTTTTCTCGATTCAAGAGTTATTAAAAAGCTCCATATTTTGAAAATCATGGTTGTAAGATTAAAAACAATCTAGTAGTAGTAGTATTTATTTTTCAATCTTTCCTATGGCAGCTACATATATGAGAGAGCTATCCGATTTTAATAAAATTTAATCCGAAACTCAATAGTTGTTAGAAAACGCCATCTGGAAGAAATCAAGTCGATCTGATCGAAAACAACAGCGTGAAATTTTTTTATTTCATTCTCTCGTTTGGGAGCTATCGGATATAGTCGGCCGATCCGGCCCGTTTCGACTTATATTCTGCGTGCAATAACTACACAACTTGGCAAAGTTTCAGCAAGATAGCTTTAAAATTGAGAGACTAGAGACATTCAGATTCAGATCGTGATGCTGGTCAAAAAGATATACTTTGAGACTACTCTGAGGTGTCTCCTTCACTGCATTGCAAACTTCTGATTGAAATTATAATACCCTTTTGTTCTGCAAGGGTATAAAAATTGAATCAACAATGGAATAGCCTTATTAGGAAGAGGATCCAAAGAATAAGAAGATTTCATATTATAAGGGGCTTTATTCTTGGGAGCTCAAAAAGAAGGTACTAAAGAAAAAGAACCCAAAAATAAAATAATACTTATCTTATTCGAAAAAAAAGTAAATCTTTTTGTTAGGTACCACTTTAATTGGATAAAATTCTTAGAAACAGTAATCAGGCACTGGGGCTTATGAAGACTAAGCTGGTAATCGTGTATACTAAAGCTAAGCCAATATAGTGTGCCACTTTTTTTACTCTATAAAAGATGACTGTTCCCTACACTCGCAAAATAGGTAAAAAGTAAACCCTATTATCTTTTTACGGATCTAGTTATTTACTTAATTAAATAAAATAAATATTAAATATATAAACCAAGAAAGGAAAGATAAGAACAGCGATTATTCATTTTTGTATTCTTTGGAATAAGAGACTTAACATAAAAAAATATGTTTTGTTTTAACGGTGATTGTATGCTGACTTTCCGAAATTCATTTGTAGGTTCTGATTTGAATGTTACATTCTAATTTTGGCAGTGTAACAATATGTGGCTTATCTTGGCAGTCAGTAGTTCATTGCAGGGCTTTCATGATTGTGCGATTGTGTGTGCCCTGAATCGGGCCTACTTTTACCTCATTAAAATATCCGTCTAATGACTTTTTAGCAGCTTTCACTTTTGTTTCGCTTTTGGATACGTACATAGTTAGCCCGGCTTTTTGGGCCAATCCATAACTGATCTCTTTTCCTAAGCCCGCAAGCAAATCCAGCTGTGGAAAAGCATTTCCATCAACCCAAATAGCAAGCGATGAACTTTGTGCTCATCACCCAACCCTAAAACTAAAGCCACGTCGTAACCCCCGAGAACCCCTCGAAATCCCCGCGTTTTTGTACCCACAACCTCCCCCAAAGGCAGGAAGCTTGAGACACACAAATTTTTGAATCGATAATTACCGCTCACCGTCGTCAGCAGTTTGGTTTTAAAACTTTGCTTGCATTAACCCGTGTACAGTGGCCATTCTACTGATGGAACTTTTACGGCAAATCGAGGGGCATACTTTAAATTAAATCGTTAAAAAGGAAATAATGCCAAATAATAGCGGAAACAATTAAAAACACATCACACCAACTTTGTTTCTTATTCTTATTGCGTGAGAAGCTCATTAACTTTATCTTCGTTCCTTCAACGCAATAAAAACTGTTGATGATTTTTTCGTTGAAATAATTTAAAACTATTGCGGTTGATTTAATGGGATAAGTTCAACTTGCCTACCAAGCAGTGATAATTTGTAAAGGAAACAGTATTGTAAAATGTATTATATTAAATAAACGAAAAGTGCACTACACCTTAATAATAAATTTTTTTTTTTAATATATTTTTTTTCATAAATAAAATCTTGTGAATTAGAAAGGCGCCAAAAAGGATTCGAATGGTCGAGCTGCCACTGTATTTGTTGTTTACCCTCTCTCGCCCTTTCTCCTCTCATTTCACTCACCCCCTCTCTCGCTTCTTATCAGTCCAATTGGAAGATGGGTTTGTTTGTTTGGGTTTTTCTTCGTCTGCTTTTTCGCATTTTCCACCACCGAGTGAACTCCAATTGGAGTTTTAATGCGCCGGCGCTGCAGTTATTCTAACTGGAATACCGTTAAACATCGTCAACGCTTTTTTTTATTACATAATGACGATGTGCGTGCGTGTGTGTGTGTGTGTGTGCATTTTAAAGCAATATATATAAGTGGGTCAACTTCATTCGGTGGTTGTTGACCCACATCTTTTTCGGTTGCATTTTGTGTATCCGTATCTGAACCCGTATCTAATGGATGCGCCGCACCCACGAAATTCGAATCGAGCGCTTTAACTTTGTTCTAGTTGGAATCTCGCCGATAACACTGAGCACACCATTAAGCTCGCCAATCGATTAATGTCGAAGTGCTGCAAGCCAAAAGGATAATTTTGTGCTTTTTCGCGACTTTCGATTACAAAGGCGTTTCAAATTTTTAAAATAATGTTTTATATGCAACTTTGTTATAAAGTTAATTAATTTTGTGGAATCCTCTCTCAAACTTCAGTTTTTATAAAGGTTTTCAGAAAATGTATTTACCAAATTTCCTTTTTTTTTTTTACAAATAAAGGATATTAGATGAATTTATAATTTCAATGAAAACTATAATATTTGTTTTACTTTAGCTCTTACCTGCTTTTTGTGGTGTAAGTAGTTTTTGGTTTTGTTCTAGCACTACCTTCTAAAAGCATTTGTTCAAAACAGCTGACAAGCCATTTTAGATGGCTGTCAAACGGGCATCAAATCAAATTTGCTGACAATTTGTTTTACTTTGTCTCGCGGTTTTCGTCTAGGTGGCATATTCCATTTTCGGAGAGATTAGACTTAACACATGTTGTGACCTTTTTGTTCGTCAGTCTTCTCTCCACATGCGTGTTTCTTTTTTTCTTTTTTTTTTTTTTTTTGTATGTGGGGAGCATTAATTTGCCGGTGGAGCGTGATGTCATCAGCTTTTGAACGAGTCACTTGCTGTAGAACTTTCTTTCTTTACAGTTAGTCAGAGCTACAAAGAAAATTCAGAACAAGGGAGAGAAGAACGCAAAGAAAAGAAAAACCCGCAATCTTGGGGCTGTAGATTCTTCTAATCGATTATCCAGATACACGGTAAAAATATAACTTCAAATCTTGTGATCTGTTTGAAAGGTTCCCAATATAAAGTGATCATATTCATTCCAGTGGTCAGAATTTTTTTCGGGCTTATTAATACACAATATTAGCGCTTAAAAAGATGTTTTTAAAACGGGCAAATAAAATGATTGAGAGATTTTAAATCCGGGTTCAAAAGTGAAGTTTGCAATTTTTTCGAATTCAGTAAGGAAACTTTCGTCTAAATCGACTAGTTCTAACTGTCTTAACCCTTTTTTTTCTCTGTACAACCAACGAAAGGAGGCTGATTGAACAGCTGACCTCGACATGATTCCGATTTTTTCCTTTTTATTTTATTTTTTGTGGACCACAGAAATTCGATCGGCCGGTGGGCCTTGCTTATATCTATAGCTATTGTGAAAGTACATCTCGAACTGTCCGCCTGTCACTCAGTCAATTGATTTTCCGGTACCCACGGCACACTTGACATGCATACATCGTGCTCATCATCATCATCGTCCCAGTCGTAATCATAATCATAGGCTATAGTCATAATTATTACCATAGGCAGACGGGACAGCCATTGTCACATTGTTGTAATGCCAACAACGGTAATTGTGCCGCTGGCCAGCAGTGCGTGTGTAATTGTTGTTGCCGCTTCTGTGCAACGGAACAGTGGAAATTATTATTAACTTTTAGGCTAAACAAAAAATAAGCAAGAACAAAAGCGATTCGATTATGAGGCCACAAGGTATATGTTGAATACATTATTCCAGACAAAGATTAATGAATTACACGGTATGAATTCGAGAAATCCAGGGCACTACGTTTTGTATTCTAATTGTCAAAAAAGTGTCATAAATGGTTCACATTTTACAAAAAATTGTATTTTAGCAAAAATACATATAAACATTTAATTCAAATTTTTAACAGTTTTAATTCTAAAACAAGCCTTGTAAACTTTAAATCTCGATATTTTTCAAAGAAAACATTTCAATGATTTGGTTAATAAAAATTGACTCAATTAATGTTTTTTGGCCATAGATAATCTCTACACATTTTCCTATAAATTTCATTATTTCTTCGACTTAAGAAAACGAAATGACTTTTATATTGCATTGCTATATTTATATTTGCATTTATATTTACTATAAAGAATAGAAAACGATCCATATTACTGCAAACATTTAATAAATACCCCAACTATATATTATACAAAATGAAATACACAAAATAAGTAATATCTTGATAGGTTTTAATATGCATTTTCACAAAACATTGTTTTGTATCAACTTGAAAACACCACTATGTTTATGCCCAAGCCATTTTAAATACTCTCTATTTCATTGGGACCAATGCCAAATGTGTATATTATTTTATAATGTAACGGAAATGGGAAATATGCGAAATGTATGTACCAAAACTCGTACATTTTG